GGTTTCTCTGTGTAGCTTTGCGCCTTTCCTGGAACTCGCTTTGGAGACCAGGCTGGCCTCGAACTCACAGAGATCCGCCTGCCTCTGCCTCCCGAGTGCTACTTTTTTCTTTTTTAAAGATTTATTTATTATGTATACAATATTCTGCCTGCATGTATCCCTGCACGCCGGAAGAGGACGCCAGATCTCATTACAGATGGTTGTGAGCCACCATGTGGTTGCTGGGAATTGAACTCAGGACCTTTGGATGAACAAGCAGTGCTCTTAACCTCTGAGCCATCTCTCCAGCCCGCAGATGAATACTTTTATAAAAGAAAATTAAAATTTGAATTAAAAATTTTTTTTTGCTAGTGTTGGGTGGGTTTGCTTATTGCTTGGTAAGTGCTCTACCACCAAGTGACATCCTCATTTTTTTCCCCTCTTCCACTGGGTGGAACAAAGAGCATGAGGACTAAGCCCATTAGCAGAGCACACTTGTTAGACTGCTCTGTGGTATGCTGGCACACCACTCTGGGGGCTCCCTGCCATCTGTGTTATGGGAATCGCAGCTGTGAGTGCCTAAGTGGAGAAGACATGTAATAGTAATAACTGCTCCAGGCCACAACCCAGTAAGCCAAGAAACACAGGTGTGTGTGTGTGTGTGTGTGTGTGTATGTGTATGTGTATGGACTTAGGAGACAGTGAAAGGCAGTATTCTCGGTCTACAAGTTCTGTTGACCAGGGGTCACTGCACGCTGTCACTGTAGTCTTCTAACTGGACAGGACAGGAGGTAAAGGCACAGTCAAGAGAACTAATTGTTAAGAGCTTTGGGAAATTTATTTGCATGTTTTCTTGCCTCAACCTGCAAACAATTGGATCACATCATACGTGGGCATGCACTCAGGAAACAGCAAGCAAACACTTCAATATCATCTTAAGTGAAGCAGGAAGATAAAGCAGTTTAAACAGACTTCCAAGTGAGACTTCGGGGTACTTGTACCATCACTCTCTTCTTATGGAACGCTGAGGACTGGTTACACATAGATCATTAGCATATGGAAATATAAAATACACTACTTTTTTTTCTTTTAGAGAAAAAAATATGACTAGCTTGGAAACGTATCAAGAATGTTTTTATGACATAGAAAACAAAAATATATTCTCTTTATAATTAAGTTAAGCAGACTGATTTTCATGAATGAATTTTTAGGATGACCAACATCATATTGGATGGTATAAAATGTCCAAACACATCCAAACATTCAACATTTTACATTTATGCACAACCCCGACACTATCAGACTCAAAACCACTGTTTTCCTGCGATTATGATTTACTGTAATCTCAATGAATTTCTCAAGGACCACTCAACACATTTATACTACTCCAGTAATTACCATGCTACCCAGAAAACAAGTCAACAGTTTATTAAGGATTAAGTGAGGGCATGGAATGTGATACAAGTAAGACACTCAGATGAGCAGAAGAGCACCACACACACAAAAATTAAATTTCACTTCAAAAAAAAAAATCACAAGGCAAAAGAAAAAGCAATTCCATCATTATAAAGTAAGATATTACATGCAAAGCACTAAGCCACACCCCAAACTCCCAGCTCCCAATAGACACTGCCATGCTAGCGCATTAACCACAGTGGAAAACAACATGAGTAGCCGTGGGTTAGAGGAGGCACCACAGCTCAGGACTAGACCATGATTTTACAGGAGAAACAGTTCCAGATCCACGCATAGAGCAATGTAGGCCAAACTTTGAGAAGTACGTAATTATAAACCCCATTAGTTAATTTCATTATCATGTAACTATAAAACTCAGAAGCTTACAGAACCTGAAACTTTTACAAAATTTGGCATATTCCTTTTATGTCCCAAGAAATGATTTTAGGATCACATTTATAATTAATAGAGGGCTGTATAAAAGCACTTCCAGGTCAGGATTTGACCTCTTAAATCTTGACCACAATTTACATCATAGGAACAACTCCAGAAATACATTTCTCTTAACTCATAGGACAATAAATTTGACTTTCAAGCAACTATATGTACAAGTTTCTCTAAAGGACCAGTTAATTAAGAGACAAATGCAAGAAATAAATGCAAAACCAAGATAAGGTGTTACAGAGAGCGAGGAAGATGTCCTCATTTACAAAGACTTAGGTGGGTAAAAGTCTCTCCTTGATTTCTGAGTGTACTGCAGGAAGGTAGGCCTCTGTGTAAGATGATGAGCACAGGCTTACATCAGAGAACAGTCTGGAGTGGCCTTTCATGGAAAGCAGTTTCTTCCACAGCCGCCACTCTGAACAGAAGCCTGTGACAGCACATTTCCAACTGGGCAGAATGCCTTGACAGGAGCAGGACGCACTGGGCTTGCCCATTCTAGAGGCTACCCACAGATGGATACAGCCACATTTATGGTTCTGGGTTGTGTTTATTCATGAGAAATAGACTTAGCTATAAATATAACCATAAGATCAAGAAAAACTTAAAACAAAAAGTCCCCACTCCCACTTGCTACTCCTTTTTAGATTGAAGATAATAAGAATTGACAAGTTGTCGAGGCTTGCCTCTCCCAAGTCTGGAACTTAACTTCTACTCACATTCCATGATCAGAGCACTAAGTGTTCAGAAGCCAGGGCGTGAGCCTCTTGAAAACTTGGGGGAGCTTGCTCTCATGCCCAGAACATCAGAGCGCTCTCTGAAGGAAGAACCAGAGTTTGAGGCCATTGAAGAAGCTTCCTTAGCCACCATCCCCACCACTTCACACCAGAGCTCTCTGGAATGTGTGCCTTGCAGATACAAAGGCATCACAAATTAAATTCCCAGAGAATTCATAAAATTCTTAAATGAGAAAATATCTCTTGTATGAGAGAGAGATGCTTCCATCAGCAAATTAAACTTGATAAATCAGTGTCTCCCCACTAGGTCTCCACCAGCAACCGAGCAGCCTCTGGAATCAAATGTAGCAATCACTCAGGCGATGACAGATGAAACACAGATGAGCAACACATATGAAAATACTCTGTAAACCGCGGCAGCTCTAGAACAGTTTATAGTACAAAGCAATGTAAATAAATATCGGGCTAGTACAAAAGCTCTTATTTACATTTTACAAATGAAATTGTATTCAGTGTAAATGCTGTGTTTTAAAGAACACAGTACTGATTAGTAAAATGAGTTCTGTTGAGGGCATTACCATTTTTGTTAGAATCGATACACAACGTATAAAAGATTCAAGTTAACTGTTTATAATTTAGTACAGATAAACCCAGTTGAACCTGGAATGGCATCTGTTAAAGTGCTGAAAAACAGGAAATACTTAGAAACACTGTACATTATTAAAGCTTTATCAAGTCAGAATGTTAAGCTTCTTTCACATTTTTATCATTTTTGCCACAGGCCTATAGTCAGGATGCATTTTTTTCCAGCCAAGAAGTGAAACTTAAGAGGCCACAGCTGCTTCGGGACGCCAGGTTTGGAGGAACCGGTTTCAGCCGTCGACCACACCTTCAGGCCTCACAATCTGGTAAGTAATTAAATATTCCGGATAAGCCTGGAAAAGAAAGATTCGTTCAAGTGTTGGTGTGTTTTAATTTATTGCATGTTAAGGTGTCTTTGTATAAGCATTCCAAGCCTTGAGGAGTTCTGCAGACCAGAACTACCGGGGGATATTTCTCTATTCCCACCGTGACCCTAACTCTTTCTTCTCATCAGTAGGCAGGTCGAGGGTGAGTATTAAGTACATGTTTGTCTGTTGTCAGTAACTGAGGGAAATCTGCCACCAACCCTGACTTAGAATGCTGCTGCTCTAGAGCAGCTTTTCATTAAGTCTTTGTCACTGATGACAGGAAGGAATTAAACACCACTGCTGTATTTTACAGAAAAAAAAAAAAAAAAAAAAAAAAAAAAAAAAAAGGGAAAAGGATCCAGTAATGATTGACAAATTCTAAATAGGTTAGATAGATTTATCAATGGTTCTTTTCTGATTTTAAAAACCTATGCCAAACATTTTATTTGTAAATTTCCAAGCCTGAAATTATTCCCCACCACCGAAATCCAGTTAAGGCAACATGCCCTGTCCATGTAAGAGCCACATCCTGTTGAAGACCCACCAATAAAAGGTAGGTACCTGTTCTCCTCTGTAAATCACGTACTCAGCTAAGGCCAGGCCGTTGACGCTGGGTCGGCCAGTGACCGAGTGGTGGCCGGGAGGAGAGTGTGCCATCTTCATTGCACTGAACTGCAGGAAAGACTTTCCCAGGGTCACTCGGCAGAAGAGCAGCTGCCTGAAACATGAAAAGGAAATTTCACCCTGAAAACAAATTGAACACACAAACCCAGAACAGTGAAGTTTTATTGTGTTCCAACAACAGCTTAGGGGAAGTCAGAGAACATTGCTTATTACTAATAAGCACAGCCATAGAAGACAAGTTAAACTTGAGCATTCAATGTACAGAATTTCAAGTTCTGTAGCCCCCTAAACACTACAGATTTGTGACCCAAAACAGAAATAGTGGTAATTCATACCTACCCAGAAGGAACTTCCTAATATAAGACATAAGCCTAAACTTAGGGGGCAGTAAGAAAAAACAAGCTGGGCCTAGTGAATACTAGCATTCAGGAGGCCGAGGCAGGAGGTTTGAGGCCAGCCTGTGCTACATAGTGAGTTCCAAGACAGCCTGGGATAGAGTGAGACTTGACTCACCACACAAGCATGCACACAAGTGTATGCATGAGAGAGGGAGAGAAGGAGGGAAGGAGAGAGGGAGGGGAGGAATGAGAGAGGAGGGAGGGAGAGGGTATGAGACAGAGAGGAAGAGCAGGAGAGGGGCAAAGGAAGGGAGAATAGGAGAGTGGGGTGAGGAGGAAGAGAGGGAGGCAGACAAGAAACAGACAGACGGAAACCAGGAAAGTGAGACTCCCTGTGTGTGGGTAAGGGGCGGGGAGAGGAGGCATTAATTCTTATTTTTTTGTTTTTTCAAGACAATAACCTTATCTGTCCTACGCACTCTATAGAACAGGCTAGCCTTGAACTCACAGAGCTCTGCCTGTCTCTGTTTCCCAGGGCAGGGACTAAATGTGGTGCCAAGACCGAAGGTCTGCTCTAGCATACTTCTGGATCACCTAGGAACTTGGTGGAAAATCCAGTGCTATAGTCTCATCCCAGCCCTACGAAATACCAGCAATGCAAGAGGTGGGGCCTAGAAGTCTGCATGCTTGTTTGGTGTTTATCGGGATTTTTATATTATATATGGGTATTTATCTCATGTGTGTGTGTGCCTGCTCAAGGTGGCCAGAAGAGGGTGTCAGATCTCCTGGAATTGGGAGTTACAGATGCTGTGAGCCACCACGTGGGCAAAAGGAACTAAAACCTTGGTCTTCTGCAAGAGCAAGTTCTCTTTCCTGCTGTGCCTTTTTCTTTAGACTCAGTAGTCTGCATTTTAATAAACCTTTGAGGTAATTCTGACATATCCCAAGGCTTGAAAAGTATTGCTCAGGCCTGAAAAATCAGGGCCCTAACTGGAATAAATCTTAGTAACTAATGTTACTTGACCTCTCAACTGGCCTACAAAGATTTTATAAATTAGGGCCAAGTTACTTGAATGATTTAAACAACTGAGAAAAGGCAATTAACTAAAAGGGAAGTGCAGAGTAGTCATTTGATAATTACTTTCTAAAGAGAATTAAAGCATTTTAATTACCTCTCTTATGGATGTAATGTTAGAAACTGAGGATTAGGATATTATAATGAAAAAGAAACTCCTACAGGAATTACCATAAAATGAGTAACTAGACAACTAGCTGCATTGTGTGTTTATGTGTGCATATGGTGATAGGCACTAAACCCAAAACCTCACACCTATCAGGCAAGAGGTAGTAATACCTTGTTATATTTCCAGACCCCAATAACAGGATTTCTGGGATCTCCAGGTCTGTAATAGTCAAAGGCTTTAATAATTTCTCTTTGGTGCTCAATGTTACCGTCTATTCAGCAGTTGTGGGTTTGTTTGTTTGTTTTTCCCCCTTTTTCTTTTACTCACACAGATTCACCTGTCTCTGCCTCCAGTTTGGGGATTAAGGGCGTGTCCCACCATGTCTGGCGATTTTTTCCTGCTTGAGATAGGGTTTAGCTGTTTGCCTAGGTAGCCTTGAACTCCTACACTTCCCATCTCATCTGTCAACATAGCTGGGCAGTAGGTGTGCACCACCTTGCTGGCTCTCTTCAGTGTTCTTTATGAAGTACCAAGTACTCAAATGGGAAATTGAATTAAACAGGTTAAGTGCTTAGAATCATGCTGGCCCATTCAGATCCTTCAGCAAATATTGGCTATTATTTTAACTTATGAGGAGACAAAGTTTAATCTGGATCCCTCACATATGATATGTGATCCCTCAGATATGCCTTGCCCTCCAAGTTTTTCAAATATGTAATCAGTTTTCATCTAATTATAACCAAAACAAGTAATAAGAAACAATCTCTCACCTGTGGCAAATGTAACAAGATCTGTCTTTGTGAATTGGACATCCAGTGCCACCTCCAATTCCATACACATACTGATTGCTTTTGGAAGAGTTTTCAGCAAAATAAATCCCAGCTCCAAACATGCCACCTATGTATGCATGTCTTTCATCAAAGCCCTTATGGATAATTGCATTCACAAAAGGAGACCCTAAAATACAAACAAACGGGCAACAACAACTTAGAAACCAAACAAAAGCTTCTGGGAAGTTGACTTTCCTGAGGATTAAACCCAGGGCTTTGTGCATGCCTGTCAAGCACTGAGCCACACACCCAGCTCTGGCTGTCTTGGAACTCACTATGCAGACCAGACTAGCCTTGAACTCAGAGATTCACCTGCTTCTGATTCCAAGTGCTGGTTAAAGGTGCTTGTCACCACACCTGGCCCCAGATGTTATTCTTGAACATGAGCCACTACTGGAACACTGTGTCAGCTGGCTTGCCACTTTTTAGGTTTGTTGTCTAAGACACGGTTTCTCTGTGTAACAGCTCTGGTTGTCCTGGGACTCACTCTATAGACCAGGCTGGTCTTGAACTCAGAAGTCCACCAACCTCTGCCTCCTGCGTGCTGGGATTAAAGATCCCCCCCCCGGGGGGGGGGGGCAACCTGGTGCCATTTTCAAATTTTAAAAAACACTTTATTTTTAATTATGTGTATGTCTGTGTGTGTATGTGCACATAAGTGCAGGTGTGTGCAAGTCAGAGGTGGTGTATTCTCTGAAGCTGGAGTTACAGGTGGTTTGAAGCACCCAGTGAGTGGGTGCTGGGAACCTAACTCCATTCTTCTGCAACAGCAGTATGTACTCTTTACTGCTAAGTCACCTCTCCAGACCCTGGCTTGCTAGTTTTAGAGTTAAGAATTCCTAACATTGTTAATAATTCTAATAATTCCAATAGGTGGTTGTTCAGATGCCAAAGCACAGATTCACCAGAAAACAAAACACAAACAGACCAAGATTATTTGAAATATCAATGTAAAACTTATCAAATTCCAGAGTCAAACCAGTGTCACAGTTCATTTCAAATGGCAAGGCTAACTGCAATCAGGTCTGCAACCATGGCCGTTCTCTGTGCATTTTTACAGCTGGTCAGCAGTCCCCAAGCAGCCTGTCAGCTCTTAGTCTGTTCTGTGGGCCTCTTCTGTGCTTCCACTTCTCTTTCATCACCTGCTATAGAAGATTCCACTGCTCCTCCTTCCTCTCCTTGCTAAGAGAGGCTTCGCCAAAATCACACTGAATATGAGAACCAGGGTAGGGCATGTATGTGCTGTGATGAGAACTAAACCAACACAGCTAAGTGCTTCGTCGAAACCAGCAGTCTGTTCACCAAGGGAAAGGAAATATCCTGAATTCTCCCTCACAGAAATATAGAAATAGAACCATATTTGAATTAACCCAAAAAACAAAACCAACCAACAAACCAACCCACCATGTATTTAGTCTAAAACACAAAAAAGCAAGAAACAACAATAACAACACATTGAACACCGGTCTAGGTGGCACATGCCTGTAAGCTCAGCACTTGGAAGATGGAGACAGAAGTATCAGAAGTTTAAGGTCATCCTCCACTACACAGTGATCACAGCTCTGGCTATGAGAGATGCTATTCAAAACAAGACAACCAATTCATTATAACACCGAGTTAATAAGAAAGAATTGTGCCTGTACCATGAGATTATTGTGATGACTCTTTTATGACTTTAGAATGAGCATAAACAGCTAAATACTGTATAAGAATCTGTTCAGTTATAACTATTCTAATAGGGGATTGTCAAACTTAACACTTTTATCAATCTTCATAGTTTCTGAAGCGCCTATGGGTAAGATGCCCAAAGGCTTTGATAAACAATGTGGAAATCTATATTTAGCTCCGCTATAAACTTGAAAAGACAAACACCTGCCAACTCAGGAAATAAACACTATATTTTAAGCATGACAAATAATGCTTTCAGTTCCACAAGCATTGGCAATAACCTTTACAGGCCCAAAGACAATGGGTATTTAAGTACAGAAGGAAGTTAAATGTGGTTTTGACATTAAACACAGAACAGGAGCACCAGGTGTGCTGGCACATCCTTTAATCCCAGTACTTCAGAGGTAGGGGCAAAGGCTGGTGGATTTATGTGAGTTTTAGGCTAACCTGGGCTGGCAGTGAGAACTTGTCTCAAAACAAAACAAAACAAAAACAGAATAGGATGCATTCATTCTGCAAAATGATTTTCATGTCTTTATCCAATCAACTAGACGCAACTTTTCAGAGTGACCTAAACAACAAACCCCCGTAAAGAAAAAAAGGAGTGAGTAGTCAGCATTCTTTTTTCTATTTGAGAAAGGGCGTCTCTGTGTTAACAGTCCTGGCTGTGCTGGATTTGTAGACCAGGCTGGCCTTGAACTCTCTGAGATCCACTTGCTTCTGACTTCCAAGTGCTAGGATTAAAGGTGTGTGCCACCACTGACAGGCCAGCATTCTTATTTCTGCTTTTTCCTATCATGGGAATTCACCAAAAATACATTCATTCATTCATTCAGTGTGTGCGGGTGTCTGCCTGCACAAGTGTGCCACCACACACTTCAGAACTTACTTCTCTCCATCAGATTTTGGGGACTGAAATCCAGTCCAAGGCTTATGTGACAAGGCTTTTACCTAATGAGCCATCTTGCTGGCCCTGAATGGGGTAATCTTAATTTATAAAAATGTTCATTATAAGGTACATCATCACAAAAGAAATTGAAAATATGGACAAAGATGTAAAAGTCAGAGAAACATTATCTTTATTAAGAGCACATAAGTTGCTGGGCAGTGGTGACCCATTGACTTTAATCCCAGCCTGGTCTACAGAGTGAATTTTGGAACAGCCAGGGCTACACAGAGAAACCCTGACTCCAAAAATAAAAAGCCACCAATGACAAGGAGGACAATGATGGTGTGCGGTCTCACAGGGAGGGCAGGGTGAGAACTTACCGTGAAACAACATCCTTTCATTTGCATGGTTGTGGTTTTCTTCAGAAACTTCTTTTCTCCGGTGTGTGTATCTTTCCCACAATTTCTTGTTACAAACCTTCTGAATCTTTAAAAACCAGGGAAATTAAATAATTCTTTTTATCTTACCAAAAAATACCACATAACTGAAAGAGAATTCCTGTGGGCTGTCCTCAGACCTCCATATGTTTGTGGTTGTACACATGCAGAGTGTGTCTGTGTAAGCTTACACGCATGTAAACAATTTTTTTTTCAAGGAGAAAAAGACTACACATGACCAGGAAGGGGCCAAGAATACTTGAAAGCTGCATGAAATACTTCAATTTTAAAATTACTTAAAACAGGAAGTATTACTTAAATAAAAATCCTCACTAAGTCATTACTGAAATACCTCAGACATGCTAAATTTTGTAGAGAAGAAGAGCACAGTACCCTGCTCTTCTGACTTCTCAGACTCAAAATTCCATAAACATGATTTGAAACAGCCACCCACCCTCTTTCCTGTTACTCCTTTCCCTCCTGTTCCTACTGGAGTATGTTTATGAGCACTGAGTGCTACAACCCCTGTGGGTCCTAGAGGACACAGCAGAGCTGCAGTTTTAGTACTGGCTCAAAAAAAAAAAAAAAAAAAAAAAAAATTGGTAACAGATGTAATCAAGGACCCTTATTTATGTATAAAATGGAACAAAAATAAAGCTATTTTAGCACGTGCGTGCGCGCACACATACACAAACTAATAAATATTGTACTGAAATACCTTTAAGGAGGAGGAAAGAGCATCAATAGCTTCTCTCCTGTTTCATGCTTCACAAACCTCCTTTGTACTCCCCTTGCCTGAATGATCTGACTGTGGCAGATGCATTCAAGCAAACTAAGTAAGCTTTAGTGTTGACTAGCCTAAAGGATGCATCCACTTCAGGATTACTGTTCAGTAAGTTTATTTTTATTTATTCACTTTGTTTTCAAGAACAGAACTCGCTCTGTAGATCAGGCAGGCCTTAAACTCAGAGATCCACCTGACTCTGCCTCCCAAGTGCTGTCATTAAAAAGCGTGCACCACCATGTCTAACCTAAAAATAAATGAATCTTTAAAAAAAAAAAAAAAAAAAAAAAAGAAGCTGTGCACGGTGGCCCACACCTCTAATCTTAGCACCAGCACTAGGGAGGCCAGGGCAGGAGATTCCAATTCCAAACTAGCCTGCCTGGGTAGAGAGTGCGACCCTGTCTGAAAAGACAAAATGTGAACAGAGCTTTTGAGAATTTTCAGTTCTGGAGGGCAGTGTTCCCCTTCAGTAGTCCCTGAAGGCATGTCAAAGAGCCCCGTGCTGGACAGATCATTATGTTCTTATGGAAACTTTATTCTCACTCATTGTTACCTTGAGAATGTTGTATCTGTTGAAGATGCCTCCTGCATGACCTCCATCTCTGTGTTCTCGGACAGTACTCTGCATCTGACGGAAAAATCATTTAAAATATATACATTAGTTTTTGTCGTTTCTGACTTGGGGAACATGGGTTTGATTCATTTGATTCCAATTTTTGAGAATTCAAGATAGGTTTTAGTATTTTTCTTGAAAGGACATAAATTCTATAAACTCATGAGTACTATCCTGTTTTCTTCTTTCGAGACTGGCTTTCTCTGTGTAGTTTTGACTGTCCTGGAACTTGCTCTATAGACCAGGTTGGCCTTGAACTCAGAGATACACTTGCCTCTGCCTTTTGAGAGCTGGGATTACCATGAGTACTATCTTCTAGAGAGGACTATTAAGCACCCTGAAAACATATTCATTGGTGAAAAGTTACATAATGTAAACTAAAATAAAAGAGAATACAAAATTGTCTTCAGTTCTAGGGGACCCAACACGCTCACACAGACATACATGCAGGCAAAACACCAATGCAACATAAAAATAAATTTTAAAAAAAGGAGGGGGGAGAAATGCATTATAAACACTTCCAAATTTTCCAGGTGGTGAAAAGAGGCAGAAAGCACATCCAAACAGATCTGGAAATATCAAGAAGCCAGGGACTGAGTCAACAGTGAGTGCTTAGATCCATACTATCCATCTTCTTAAGCATGATGAACATACCTCTTCCTCCACAGACTGAAATTCTTTATCATCAGGAGACAGATCAATGAGAATTGTTCCACTACCAGAGTTGTTTAGAGTTAAATATGGATTAAGACCTATGAAATGAAATTTAGAAGTAAAAAATTGCCAATAAAACAGCACCAACCCAAAACAATCACAATTTATCTGACACTATCAATTCCCCCAAATCCTAATTTCATAATAATTTAGATTTATAGAAATGCAGACAGGTACACAGTTCACCCAACTTCCCCCAGGCTTATATAGTACTTTATGTAAACATACTACAATTGTCAGAACTTACTACCTACCTAACACAGGCTTCGTTTGGACTGCACTAGTTTTTCCTATCAGTGTCCTCTTTCTCTTAACAGGATCAAAACCATGATAGCACATTATATTCTGACTACTAGTGAGTAAGTGTGTGTGTGGGTGCATGTGCCTATGTACACAAAGGACAGAAGCCAGTAGCACATCCCTCAGAACTGAGTTAGAGGCAACTGCTCAGCTTGTTATTGCTATGTCGGTTCTGAGATCTCAACTCTGGTTCTCATAATTGGGCAGCAAGTCCTCTTAACCACCAAGCCTTTTCTGCAGCTTTCTCTCTGCACACTAATTTTTTATGACCTTTTATTTTGTATGTTTGTCTGCATGTATGTATGTACACCATGTGAATGCCTTCAGAGGCCAGAAGAGGCCCCTGGAGCTGGAATTAGAGAGCTGCATGTGAGTCTTCTGTAAAATCAGTACACCACTCTTTCCCGGTGAGTCATCTCTCCAACCTCTCAAGTAACTACTGTTTAACCTGACAGATTAAGTGGTTTTAGAGGCTATTTATGAAAATCCCCTTCCCCTTTTCTTTTATTGCTAATGAGTTCATAAACATACTTTCTTCTTCAAATTACTTCCTTTAGTAAACATTCAGTCTTTTATTCTAATAAAGTTATCCTTTCATTTTCTGTAACTATGAGTAAGAATTATGGAGACTCTCGAACAGCCTCAGGCAATTAAAAACCATCCTATAAGTTCATAAAATTTGCTACCTGACTACTAATAAAAATGAATAGATTCTTTACTTCTATAATTAATTTGTCATGCTTTCTATTTTTATTGAGACAACGTGTATGTGTCTGGGTGTTTTTCCTTCATGTGTCATGCTTGGTGTCTGTAGAGGAAGTGTTTGGTCTCTTGAACTGGATGGAGTTACATATACAGTCAGCTGTGAGCCTCTATGCAGTACTGGAACTGCACACAGGTCCTCTGGAGGGGCAGCCAGTGCTGAGTCAGCTTTCTAGTCCCTTGTTAGGCTTTTTAAATGTTAGCAGTCAAGAAACATGTTTTTTATGTATTAACTGTCAAACAAATTCTTTAATGGAGTTTCAAACAAAAACTTTTTTTAAAATGGTTTATTTATTTTTTATTTTATGTGCATTGGTTTTGCCTGCATGTGTGTGTGTGTGAGGGTGTTGGATCCCCTAGAACTGGAGTTATAGACAGTTGCGAGCTGCCGTGTGGGTGCTGGGGATTGAACCCAGGTCTTATGGAGGAGTAGAGTCAGTGCTCTTTCTTTCCTTTTGTTTTTTCTTTTTAAAGATTTATTTATTTATTATGTATACAGCATGTATGACTGCAGGCCAGAAGAGGGCACCAGATCTCATTACAGATGGTTGTGAGCCACCATGTGGTTGCTGGGAATTGAACTCAGGACCTTTGGAAGAACAAGCAGTGCTCTTAACCTCTGAGCCATCTCTCCAGCCCTCAAACAAAAACTTTTAATTTATTTGTCATATCTGCAATATAGTTTTCATCTTTTAAAATCTACAAAATTGCACAAGTTCTGCTGTTTTCTCTAGCAGAGGTGAATCTGTCATTGCTAGGGCTAGTGCACAGAGGAGCCTGTGGAGGTAAGAGCTTGAGATATGGTCTAAGAAACAAACACCACAGAAGACTGCAGAGACTTAATGATGTCTGTAGGAAGTATGGGGCCCATATGGAGACTATTCTACAGAATACTATGATGGCTAGGCACAGTTGCACACCCTTGTAGTCCCAGCATGCAGGGAGGTAAGGTTAAGAGGATTACTGAGTTTGGGCCCAGCCTAGTGAAATTCTGCCTCAGAAAAGCAAATAAAACAACACAAAACAAAACCAAAATCCCCATGAAAGTCAATAATCAAACCTCCCCAAACCCAAAAAGCACCCTTCCTCCAAAAAGACTAGGACAAAGCCTTGAATTACTGACCTGTAACTCAGTACTGAAAGGTAAGAAAAGGCTGTCAGTCACCAAGAGCAGACTGTCAAAGGACCTGTTTTGCCAATCAGATGTGAACAGACTCCTGGCTTCAAATGAATACCAACAGATGGCAACTTGACCAAGAGCAGAGACTCTTGACACTAGACATGCTTCCCCTTCACGAACAAAGAACGCTCCACCCAACTGCAGTGGACGTGTCAGAGTGACGACAGGTCCTAAGTAGCACTGAGGTCCTTCTCTTCGGTACCTGGAGACAGTAATCTACTTCTAGCACCGATTTCCGAGCCTTTGCAGGCAGTGCTAACATCAGGATGGATCTACCTGCATTGTTTCCACTCCACTCCTTCCTGAAACTGTGTGCTATTATAATTGCTGTCACACAGGATACCCCGGTGTCCTGTCACAGCTGCCACCACACAGGAAAGACTGTTAGCTTAGCAGTCCTGATGGCGGGTCATCTTCTTTGTTGAAAGGTTTTTGTTTGAGATGGGGTCTATTTAGTCCTGAAACCTGTTATCTAGATTAGGCTGGCCTCAAATGCAGAGATCCTCCTGCCTCTGTCTCCTCTAAGTGCTGGGACTAAGGGCAAGAGGGAGCTGTGGGTTTTCCTTTCATTTTACATTTCAAAATTTTGTCATTATACTAGGCACAGCCCAGAGTGACCTCATATTTCAAATTCCGCGCCCTAGTTAAAAGGATTTCTTAGTGTCACCTCAACTTTGAGTGATCTTTGTTTTTTTTCTTCAAGAAGTGGATCCTGGATCCACCTGTGCTGGAGAGATGGTTTGGTGGTCAAGAGCACTGGCCACTCACTCTCCCAGGACTTGGTTTGCAGAACCCACATGGCAGCGGTTAACAACTGTATATACTGTTGTCCAGGGTATCTGACACCCTCTTCTGGCTTCCTGCAGTACTGAATGCAGGTGATCCTCATACATACACAGGAAATACAATTATCGAATCCCATCCTGGCCAGCACATATTTCCCCCCTCTGAACAGCCTATTCGTTTTTGTAAGTAGAAATTTTTATTTAATCCTAGTTGTATAGCTTTTATTTTTACAATGTTTTAAAATTTTATTCTTTTGATTGGCAAGCCAAAGGACAGGTTCCATTCTAGCCCCTCACCCTACTACCTTCTGTCCCTCCCCTTACCTGTTTCTCCTGTTCCCAAATAGTCTCCCTTTCTGTGTGCCGCTCCCCCCCCCCCCCCCCGTTTTTCAAGACAGCATTTTTCTATGTAGCCCTGGCTGTCCTGGAACTCACTCTGTAGACCATGCTGGCCTCGAACTCAGAGATCCACCAGACTCTCCCTCAAGTGCTGGGATTAAAGGTGTGTGCCACCACCTCCTAGCTCCCTTTCTGTTTTTATAACACATACACTCCTATCCTCTCTCGTTCCTCTCCCTCCTCATCAATCCCTTTCTACTTCCATGTCATACATGTACAAATTTAAATGTGGTTCCACATGAGACAAAACAAATGGTATTTATCCAAGTCTGGGGTCTTTAGGGAGAGTTAGTTTATTGCAAATGTCATAATTTTGTCCACTGCAGCTGAATAGAACTGTGTATATCACATTTGTTTATACATTCATCTGTTAACTGACATCTAAGCTGGTTCCATGTCCTAGTTCTTATGAATTGTGTAGTTATAAACATGGACATGCAACTATGTCTGTGGTATGCTGGTTTGAAGTCTTTTAAATATATTTGGGGTGGGGGGCGCTGGAGAGATGGCTCAGAGGTTAAGAGCACTGGCTGTTCTTCCAAAGGTCCTGAGTTCAATTCCCAGCAACCACATGGTGGTGCCCTCTTCTGGTGTACAGGCAAACTTGCAGAAAGAACACTGTTTATATTATAAATAAAATAAATCTTAAAAAAAATATACATACACACACACACACACATATATATACCCAGGGGTGGTAATACTGAATCATTACTACCACAGTGGCTGTACTAGCTTATATTCCTGTCAGTGGTGTGTGAGCATCAGGGTCAATCACCATTTCAGTTGAATGCTAAAGTGAAAAGTGTGGTCCTGACTCTCAAAATAATTAATTCACATTTTGACCTCGCTCTGACACACAAATGCTAACATCTGTGGAGTGAATGCAATCTGTATTTTCCTCAGCTAAAACATTATGAAAATTCTTCTTTTTTAACGATTTTTATTTTATGTGCAATGGAGTTTTCCCTGCATGTATACCTGTGTGAGGGTGTCAGATAATCTGGAACTGGAGTTACAGACAGTTGTGAGCTGCCATATAGATGCTGAGAATTGAACCCAGGTCCTCTAGAAGAGCAGTTAGTGCTCTTAACTGCTGAGCCATCTCTCCAGCCCCCAAAACATTTATGTATCTTACCAACGGTCTAATACCTAATCATTATCTAGCATCTTAACGTAAGAAAGAGACACCCATGATCCAGATCTTTTAAAATTATAACACTTTAGAGCTAGAGTAACTTCACTAATTATACCTTCCCATTTTCTAGGAGTTAACATAATCCTAAACCCTGTTAGTGTCCTCCCTACTAAAAAGAGTCTGTCACAGACTTCTAAAGTGTTACACTGAGGCTACCTTTATATAAACAGATAAACTGTTAACCAGTTATCAAAATGAAATACCTTGTTGTCCAGAGATCAGTCTTTCAACCCCTTTAATTAGCTTGTGTCGATGTCCATAAGCATTGATTCCAATCTCTTTCAGCTCCTTGTGCCCCATCTCAACTAGCACATCCAAGGTGATCTTATAAAGGAGAATGAAATTATTCAGAATGCTTGCTCATTTGGTAGACACTCATGTATTTATATTCTCATAATACTCACTTTTATTTCACATTTCTTATGAAGATATATTTTACATATATAAATGTTTTAGCTGTATGTTTGTGCATGCATTTCCCTTGGCAGCCACAAGAGGGCATCACCCTCCCTCCTCACTGGAGTTAGTTGTTAGGAATCAAACCCCAGCCATCTCGACTGCTCCATTTCTTATTATTTTTAATAACTTCAATAAAAAAAAAAACAAAAACCCAACACAACACAACCCAAAACCAACAAATCATCCGTTAAATTCAAAAAGTTGGAGTCATAAATGTCCTTTTACATTTCATCTTTCCACTCTACTCTCACCCCTGCTCTGTACCTAAGCCTTCACAGAGTGCCCTGCATGGTTCCTCCAGGATGTGGATGATGCTGAGTGGTACCTCTGCATCACTGTTCAAACTTTTACCTAAAATAAATCATTCCTGCTTCATGAACCTGAAGTCATCAATCCTGTTTCATTTATATAATGTCTACCAAGCCACCCCTAGTAAATCCAGCTAACAGTAATCTTTTCCTTCTTTAAATTTATTAAAATCTTTACCAGACTGACTTTTCCTGTCTCTGCTCCACCTCCAAAACTAGACTGCAGGTCACTGCAGGTTCAAGTCTACAGTAATTGTAATTTCTGAACAATAACAACAGCAATAATAACTGTGCATACAGGGTCTAGAGAGACAGCTTGTTGGTTAAGAGACGGCTTGTTAATCTTTCAGAGGACTGGGGTTTGGTTCCCAGTACATACATGGTGGCTTTCAATCATCATCCGTAACTCCAGTTCCAGGAGATCGGACATCCTCGTCTGACCTCCATGGGCACTGGGCATGCATGTGGTGTACATACAAGCACGCAAAACACTCACACACATTAAGTAAATCTTAAAAAGGATAGGTACATATATCCTGATGGAATACTTTAAACTGGGGCTACTCAGAAAAGCTGAAATGTATGACTGGCACATTCCAATTCCTGTCCATTGTAGGTAATAGAATGTCAGGCTTCAAGCAGGTAGTGATAAAATAACAGAACTGAAGAAACAGCTTGAAGATAACTTAATTCAAGGACTGAATCAGGGAACCATGTTCTCAAGGAGGATGTTCTATTACTACATATCAGTCAATTTTAGATAAAAGGAACTAAATGAGACTCCAAAGTTAAGCCAAATCAGGTAGTGAGCGATTTCCAGTCTCCTAACACTCTCAGAGCTGCAGCAGACAGAATATGAGCACACGGTACACTCATCATGTAGGAGACCCAGGGTTCAGTGCCCAGCACTAAATACAACAGACACCCTATAAAAACATTTCCCAATAGCTTATAAGGTTTAAGCAATTTCAAGCATTTTCCAGACTTTCTTGAATTTATATGAAACACTAAACCAAACAATACAATTCATTTACTCACCTGTTCTCGTTCAAATATATCCATTAAGTGCTCCAGCCCAAGATTCCTTATGAACTGAGTTATACTAAAATCTACACCTGGATCTGTGAGGAAAAAGTCCAGAACAAAATTTCACATCAGAATACTGTACAACACTGTACAAAATACAAAAGCTCTGTTGTGCTACTATATATGTAAAGAACGTATCAAAGAAGCAAATACTAACAGCCACTTATGCTATACCAAAAACTAACAAGAATTCCATAAACTTTTTTTGAGGCAGGGTCTCACTATATAGTCTTGGCTAGCCCGCAACACCCTATGAAGACCAGGCTGGCCTCAAACTCAGAGTGTCTGGGTGAGTGCCATCATGCTCAGCTTAAATAGTTAAACAGTGAGCCTTCTCAAGTTTAAACATTTCCCACTTTACTTTCATTTAAATTTTACTTTTAGTCTTATCTTAAAAAAAAAAATCAGCCTTCTTTCAGGTTCCTTTACAACAACATTTATGAAAAAGAGTTTTATGGTGTTGTGTAGAGTAAGAAGGATCTGACTGGTAAAAACTGACATCAGAAGAATGGGTCAGGGCTGGGGAGATGGCTTAGTGGGCAGAGGCACCTACTGTGCAAATCTGGAAACCTGAGTTCAATCCCTGGAACCCACTTAAAGGGGAAGGAAAGGACCTACTTTTCAAAGTTGTCCTCCGATCTCTACACACATACCATGGCATGAATTTGCACACACACACACACACCAGCAAACAATAAATAAATAAATAAACAATAGGTCAGCAGTACCACGCTCACTATCTTTTGACTTGAATGGAGTTTCTACAGGAATTCCATTTCCATTATGAAAACAAGAAAATAAATGTGAATACTCTCAGCCTATATTAATTTATTTTATCGAGTTGTATTTAAGATGGAAAGGACAATTTCCTACCACTCTACACGACAAACATGGAGCTCTAGTTATTTTTACAGGATTTCTCACCTTCCTTTCTTTCCAAACTGGCAGCACCTTCGGTTGTACTTGAATTAACCACTGAGGACAGTTCAGAAAAACTCCCAGATAAGTTGTCAAGACTGCTGGCCGCAGAAAGGCTCAAGGGGCTGGATGGACCTGAAGACAGGGCATCCGCGGTGGCTGCCGGGCTTCTCCCACCATTGAGCACTTGAGGTTTATAGCACGAAGGCAGAGCAGAGGGAGGCATGGCTGCAGTCAAGAGAGCGCTGACGTCATCGGCCTAGGACACAGTTCAAGGAGATGAAACCTGTCAGAAACAAGCTCTACAATTCTTCTATGCCTAGTAAGATGCAATAAAAATAGGACAAACCTAGCAAATTCACACTGGGTCTGTTATCATATGACACTGAGAAATATTAGAAAATTTTAAGAGTGAAATATACAGGCTGATACCCAGCTAGATAAATTGTCACTAAATATAAAACATAATTCAGAACACCCTTTCCAGGTCACATTTAATTAAACAAACAAACAAAAACTGCTAAATGTTGCAAACTACAATGAACAAAATGCTAATTTTAACACCATGACTGAAAGGCACTGAAATTAATTACAGAACTACTGATCGATAAAGAACTTTCAACCCTATTCGGGGCTATATCCGCTTCACTAATGACATACAACTATTTACCACACTCAAACAGTAAACTAAGTACTGGGCTGGAGAGATGGCCCAGCGGGAAGGCAGCTGCCAGTAAGCCTCATGACCCGAGTTTGATCCCTGGTACCCACATGGTGTAACGAGAGAACGGCTCCCACAAATTATCCTTTGACTTCTTTCTACAGGTATACTAAAGCACATCTGAACCTCTTCTCCCCAATAAACTGTGGTTGATATACTGTGTACCTTAATAAAGTTATCTGAGAGATCAGAGAGAGAGAACAAGCCACAGCCAACCTCACCTCGCCAACTCAGCTGATCTTGTTTCCTCAGACTGAAAGCCTCTGAGTCCTCACCCGAATGGATCTCAGTTGAACTGCTGCTAAAAAGCCTCTAGTTCCTGGTCCTCACACCTTATATACCTTTCTGCTTCCTGCCATCACTTTCTGGGATTAAAGGCATATATACCTTTCTCTACCCAGCCATCACTTCCTTCCTAGCACTGGGATTAAAGGTGTGTGCCACCATACCTGGCTCTGTTCCCAGTGTGGCCTTGAACTCACAGAGATCCTGCCTCCCAGTGATAGGATTAAAGGCGGGTGTGCCACCACTGCCTGGCCTCTGTGTCTATCTAGTGGCTGTTCTGCTCTCTGACCCCCAGATAAGTATATTAGGGTGCACAATATATAAACAGCAACAAACAATTACAAAATAATATATAAAAAGATGCTAAGTAATCATCAATAGGGATGCTTTCTTGGTTAGTCATTTGTATGTCCACACCCTTACCTTTCTTTTTCTCTTCAATTTGTGCATCTCTTGACCTTATAGTTTGTACATAGTATTTATCTATAAAAAAGACCATTTATTGGTACATTTTGGTACCTGAAACTATCTAAAGGCTTTCAATATTATTACTATGCTTAATTCCACTAACCAGATATATTTTATACCTTATAGATGATGCTTTTAAACTTTACAGGCTAGGCAACTAGCAAGATTGCAGCTTTAAGGGCTGGAGCCATTTGACTCCAAAGCTCATGCATGCTTTCACTCTATGAGAAACCATCTTTGAAATTTTATTTTGTGGGTACGTGTGTAATTTGTGTGTGCATGAGTCTATAAATCTGTGCACGTGGAAGTTAGGAGTCTGGGGTATTGGTTCTCACTTTTGACCATGTTTGAGATGGTCTGTCTCATCACCACTGTGGTGCCAGGCTAGCTGGCCCTGGGGTTTCTAGCCAACTCCTCTCTCACATAGACTCCTACTATGTATCCAGATCTTATGTAGGTTGTTGTGGGGATTCAAACTCAGATGCTCCCATATATGCAACAAGTGCTTTTCTCAGTTAGTTATCCATCTCCCCAGGCCTTATGCATTCTCTAGAGGCACTAATTATATCTGGTGAATCAATGTCTGGGAGGAATGAACTCTAAATGCTTACTTCTTAATCAGCTTGGAACCAAAGAGACATTTCTAAGAAGTCTTTGTGCAAATACGGTTAGGTTAATTAGCCTGCTTGGGAACATCTCTTTAAACCTGTATATAGTCAAACGAAATCAGTTTCTGGCTCAATCGGTTGGAACAATCTCTCTCCACAGAAGACACTATCCTTCCCATTTCAAAATGTTTCTTACAGGTGTGGTGGCACATGCCTGTAATCCCAGCACACTCAGGAGGCAGGCAAGAGGTTGGTGCAAAGGGCTGGAGATGGCTCAGGAGCTTAAGAACACTTACTCAAAAAAATATAAAACAAAAACAATTGCTTTTCTTCCAGAGGACTCAGATTCGGTTTCCAGGCACTCACATCAAGTGGTTTACAACCTCCTGTGACTCTAGTTCCAGAAGTTCTGACATTCTTTGGCCCCTGCTGGCACCAGCATACAAGTGGTGCACATAAACACATACAGACACACATACATATGCATAAAATAATCTTAAACATCCAAAAACTCTAGGCCAGTCAGGACTACATAATAGATCCTGAAGATCTGGGGGTGGGGAAGGATGACCAAAACCTTCCTTCCTTCTACTTTACTGCTCTGGTCAGTGACCTCCGTGGCAAAGGCATGGAAGTACTCCTATTCCAGTGACTGACACAGATTTGGGAGCTAAAAAGGAGGCTCCTACATGAGCAGCCATGGAAAGAAAAGGAAAAACCCAGTTTATTTTATAAACCTTAAAAAACAGTAAGCATTAATTTTGTTTATTTGTGTGTAGTATGTGCCAGGGTGTATGTGTGCCAGGGTGCACATGTGGAGGTCACAGGACAACTTGTGGGAGGGTCTTGGAGTCCACTCAGGCTGTTAGGTCTGACAACAGTGCCTTTTCCAGCTGAGCCATCTAGCCGGCTCCCACACAGACAGCTCTTGTAGGTAAACAGTAACAGGAGGAAAAAGCAGTGAGGAAGGACCAAGAATCTCTGCTAGTAGCAGGCTTTGCAACTACACCTTGGGGTAATTACCTAACTGGGTAAGCTGGTACAATCTTCAGTCCATAGTATCATGCACTGTAACAGCATTTACAGAGGACCTGGGCCTGTTTTGTCTCTCAACTGTTCTTTCCCCTATATCAAAAGTACTTAGTGTACAATAACTGACTAATAGCATATCTACTTCACAACACCAAAGGATTCCTAAATTTTGAGCTAAAACCATATTCACTACGCAGACATCTTACGCATGCCACGTGAACTTTCTGAGTTTTCAAAGAGCCCATCACTTACTGAAACTAAATCTAAAGGTGTTTGTCCTTCTTGATTTTTAAGAGTAGGATCAGCTCCATGGGCCAACAATAAAGCACAAAGCTGTGTCCGTCCCTTTTGGGCTGCTTCATGTAACGGTGTGAAAGCCCATTTGTCCGTGGCATTGACACACGCATTGTACTTTATCAGTAAAGCTGCTACGTCTACATGCTGGAAAAGAAAATATTCCTGTTACAGTTGGAAATGTTTTATGGTACTTCACTTCTTAAGAAACTGGTTCTGAACTGGATATGGAAGTGCATGCCTTTGATCCCAGAGGCAGAGGCAGGCAGGTCTCTGTGAGTTCGAGGCTGGCCTGGACTGCACAGTGAGTTCCAGGACAGCCAGGGATATGTAGAGAGGCCATGTCTCAAAACAAAACAAAACCTGGCTCTGTACCTACCTTCTTATTTTCAAACTTATTCTGGAAATGAAAAGTAAAGCTACTTCTTCTCAGCATTGTAACTTAGGGGTAGCTGCTTAAGAATTACAGTTCAGAATCTGACATAGAAAAAATAAACTAATAACTTCAATGATTTCTAACTAATTCATGTATTATAACTGGTGAATATAAATTTACAAACTAGCAGCCTTCCTCAGTTATTCAAACTAGACCACTGACAATGGCCAATTTTATGCTAACCAGAATCTTCAGGGTTGCTGGAAGTCTGTAACAATGTATCTGAATCTCTAAAGATTCCTATGAAACCTGTGGATTTTCTGGACACACACACAAATTAGTATTTCATCAAAACCAAGAGACAGGTGCCAAAGATATTACAACAAATGATAACTATATTGCATGACACACAGCATGCTTATAGCAGATTAAGAACTACAACTTATTTTGTTCTTTGTGAAACAAGTCACATCAAATTCCATGTAAACTGTGATACTGACAGCCACTTTGAAAAATCACATAGATTTTTTAAAGGTAACACGGAAGAACTCACCCCATATGATGCTGCATTATGTAAAGGAATGAGTCCTCCTTTGTCTTGGGCATTCACATCAGCTCCATGTTGCAACAAATACTCCGCAACTTCCAAATTATTGTAACCAGCTAATTCAGGAAAGAAGTAACATTACTTTCACTAACAAATGTAGAAAAATTACATATTACTATATAGCCATATATTTTTAAATAGATATTACTAAATTTTATATAAGTTTGAAATTATAGTATTTAATTTTGTGGAAAAAAAAAATCCACCATTGGCCTAAAATGTTAGAAGCTTTTGTTAGTCATTGGTTTTGCAGACCCAAACTACAGAAAGATTTCCTCTATCCATTGAAAACTTCTCAGGATCTCCATTGCACAGGACAACAACAGGATATCTAAGAGGAGCCCCAGTGCAAGCCCATTCATTATTGGTGATGTGGCGGAAACCAGAGGCCTCGACCCAGACCAATGACTCAGGGTAACGAACACTTGTAAGTAAAGATGCATGGACTAAAGGGTAAACTGTGTGTCTTAACGGGCCACACTACAGCTTCCATGATCAGATTCTTTTTATTTTTTAATTTTTGTTTTGTTTTGTTTTTTCTTTTAAATTTGGTTTTGTTTGGGGAGGGAGGGATTCCAAGGGCAGAGGGCGGACATGAGGGGACAAGATGCTAAGTGGGATCGGGATGCACAATGTGAAATAAAAGAATCAATAAAAGCAATAAAGAAATAAGTAAAGAAAGAAAGCAAGCACTTCTCTACCAAAGGCCCTGCCTTCATGGTTGTTACATACAATGTTCTAATTCAGGTGTATGATCCCAAGGGCTAAAAATCACAGGCACCCAATTATTTAGCTGCAAAACAGGAAGCATCCTTTTTCAGAAGGTTGTAGGAACAGGCTTCAGCCTAATGAGAGCACTTAGGAGACAAATGGTAGAGACCTTAGCACTACTGAGACCAAAGAGGAAAGCTTCATTACTCTCCAGCATGATATAACCTGTATCTTGTCAGCTAGCTGCCAGTTCTCTTATGGCAAAGTATCTCTAGACACATAATTATAGATTGCTTTCTGCCCTCCCCTGTGTCCCCCAATACATGGCTTTTCCATGTAGTTCTGGCTGTACCGCAACTCTCTAGACCAGGTTGGCCTCCAACCTAGAGATCCACCTCCCTCTGCCTCCCAAGTGCTGGGATTAAAGGTGTGCATCACCAGGCCCAGCCACTTTCCAATTTAGAAAAAACGTGTATTATTATCTGTGCATGCTTGTGGTATGTACACACCACAGGTCAGAAAACTTGTGGGAGTTGACTTTTTCCTTTCACTATGTAGGTCACGGATATTGAATGCAGTTTGTCAGGCTTCTCACAGTTCCCCAACCTGATTACTTGGGGCAAGGTCTCTCACTAAACTTGGAGCCCACTCACTCAGCTAGTCAGGTAGCCAGCAAGCTCCAGGGATGCTCTATCTTTGCCCCTTAATGCTGGGAATGTGAACAAGTTCTTACGCTTGCATGGCAAACATTTTATGACTTTCTTTACAGCCCAAGCTGTAGTATTAACACTATTAGAAGTGGGTAGACACATTTTATGTATAAAATATAGTTGCAACTCCAGGTAGTGGTGGCACACACCTTTAATCCCAGCACTCAAGAAGCAGAGACAGGTGGGTTCTCTGAGTTCCAGGCTAGCCTGGTCTACAGAGATAGTTCCAAGGACAGCCAAGCCTACACAGAGAAACCCTGTCTCAAGAAACAAAACAATGTATTTGCAACTTACAAAGTCAATGTGGATTTAAAATAGTAATGCTAAGGGGTGGAGAGATGGCTGCTTTAGTGGTCCTGAGTTCAATTCCCAGCAACCACAAGGTGGCTCACAGCCATCTATAGTGGGATCTGATGTTCTCTTTTCGCATGAAGTTGATAAAGCACTCATATACATAAAATAAATAAATCTTAACAAAACAGTAATGTCAAATATTCAAGATAAGGGGTTGGAGAGATGGTTGAACAGTTATGAGCACTTGTTTTTGCAGCGGATCTAGATTTGGTCCCCAGCATCCACAAGGCAGCTCACAACTATTTGTAACTCCAGTTCTAGGGGATCCAATGCCCTATTCTGACCTCCACAAGTATCTGGCACACATGTGGTACACAGACATCCATGCAGGCAAAACTCATGTTGTGGGATAATCGTTTTGTACACTGTGAAGATGTGTCTCTGCCAAGATACCTTCTGATTGGTTTAATAAAGAGCTGAACAGCCAATAGCTAGGCAGGAAAGGATAGGCAGGACTTCCTGGCAGAGATAGGAACTCAGGCAGAGATTCACAAGCGAGAGGTGTCAGGAGTGTGTGTGTGTGTGTGTGTGTGTGTGTGTGTGTGTGTGTGTGTGTGTAGTCGGATATACAGTATGGAGGAGAGGTAATGAGCCACGTAGAAGACTGTACATTAGTATAAATGGGTTAATTTAAGTTATAAGAGCTAAGGTCAAGCTTTCATAATTAATTAATAAGTCTACAGATCATTATTTGGGAGCTGGTAGTCCAAAGCAAGACCAGCCATACATCCATACACATAAATATAAAATATATATACACCACAAAAAAGCTTATAAAAGTTGGGGCTCGTGAGATGGCTCAGTGGGAAGGCCCCTTGCTGCCAGGCCTAATAACCTGTTTGATCCCCAGAACCTACATAGTGGAAGGGAAGTCTTTGAAGACATTCATTTTTGCAGCTTACACTCAGCTATCACTAGAAAATGAAAACTGTAGTTTTCTATGAAGAAGGCAGAATTTATGCGGGTCTGTTTTTCCTAACTCAATGTAGTGATCCCACAGAAAGGATTCTAAAGTTCAGAGTGATCGGCAGAGCCTATTTCAACTGTTCTTACTGATTATTTTTTCCTCTTTTTTTTTTTTTTTTCCTTGGGACAGGGTCTCACTATTTGGCTCTGGCTGTTCTGTAACTCACTATGTAGATCAGGCTGGCCTTGAACTCACACAGATCTGCTTGCCTCTGCTGGGATTAAAAGCATGCACCACTACATCTGGCAACTGTTCTTCCCGAATGTGATCAGTGCCAAAGGAAGTGAAATTCAGCTAGCACTTCATGTATAAACACAATGGCTCTATTCAAACACACATACTAGGGTAAAATGAAAGCGTTGGTAGATAAGTTTACTTAGAGGAAATACTTTACTCAAGAGTAAAAATGAGTCTTAGGGATGGTAAAAATGGCTCAGCAGGTAAAGGCATCCACCGCCAAACCTGACAACCAGAGTTTGATCCCTGGAACCCACATGATAGAAAGAATAACCTCGAACAAGCTGTTCTTTAATCTCAGACCCTCCATACCATCCCCCATCAAAAAAAATAAATAAATAAATAAATAAAAATAATCTTAGATGTCACCAGCCTAAATCTGGTTTCACTCATTTACCTGCCAAATGCAAAGGTGTAGAATGTCGACCCTGGGTATCACGGCAATTTACATTATCAGGTGAAGACAGTTTCTTCACTCTGGCTAAACAACCCTTCTTGGCAGCATCTAGTAAAGCTGCATCACCTCTAAGTAGATCTTGGATATCTGTGTCTCCATCTTTAACAAGATCCAGAGGAGTATTACCATCTCGGTTTTTCTTTGTAGGGTCTGCACCATGCTAGGCATGAGAAAAAAAAAGGGGATGGGGGAAGAGGTGGGTCAGTGTGTATTTTGTCACTGAGAAAATAACCAGAGCAAAGAAAATCATTTTATACTAAATCGAACCTCATTGTTATTAATGCATAAATACTGTAACACATTAGTAAGTATGTATCTAAGAATAGATAAACTACAGTAAAAGTTTTCAGTTATAGAATTTAAAAATTATTATTATTAGAGGCAGCACAGGCTAGTCTTCTGAAATTTATTCTGTAGTTGAAGCTGACCCTGACCCACTGGTCTTCTTTTCTTGTCTCTGCCTCCTACATAATGAGAATACAGGTATGTACTACTGAGTCTGTCCATGTGGTGCTGGGAATAAATCCCACAGATTTGTGCATGCTAGACAGGTACTCTACCAACTGAGATACAACTGTATCTCATGATAATTTTATGGAACCACTGCCAAAAATGTAGTCCACCATTGACTGAATTATCACACAATGCATGATTGCATTTTTCCTTTTTTTTAAAAACAGGATCTTAACTATGTAGCCTTGATTTAACTTTCTGGAAACTCACTCTGAGGACCAGGCTGGCATTGACCTCATAAAAACTCACCTGCCTCTGAAGCCCAGGTGCTGGGTTTTAAGGAGTGCACCACCACTGCATTTTTCCTTTTTACACTGTATGAATGAATCTATGCTGTAATATTCTATAGCAAAGTATCTGTATCTATATTAGACCAGGATCATCAATTTTATAGAATGCTAAACAAATTGGGCTTATAAATGACTTAATCAGGTAAGTCAAGTAATCTGAGGTTGGATTGCCAAACATGAAAATCTGATAGCAAACAGAACTACCACATGGTAGGTGGCTATAGAAATAAACCCCCTATGCTGGGAAATATATATGTAGATTCAAAAATAAAAATGTTCATGACATTTTCTTTTGAAATCTAGTTCAGCATTAGGTAACTTCCTCTCCTACTTTCATTAGTTTAAATTTTATACTAGTGGTATTTGAAAGATAATCTGAATATTTTAGGTAATTCACACTGTTCATAGCAAGGACTTCAGCATACCTGGAGCAGAAGCTTGCATATTTCATATTTTCCTTTTGCTGCAGCTTCATGTAAAGGTGTGAACTTCCACAGGTCAGCTACGTTAACTACTGCTCCATGCTTGACAAGAAGTTCTGCAACTTCATAGTGTCCATAGGAGCATGCATTGTGCAAAGGCACAAGGCCTCTGAAAAGTTCAATGAGCAGTAATGGCAGAAAACATGGTTTAATCTCAGGAATTATACATAACCAATGAAAGACATTTCTTAGAATTGCCTAAGGGAGTATACTGGTAAGACTCTGTAGAACTTAAACCTATGGAAAGCAGGAAAAGACTTTTTCAAAATATTTTAAATGCAGAGACTATGATAAACATTCACATATAGACTCAACATCTAGTATTATGTATTTTTAACAAAAACAATTTCGAGATTAACAAAAAAATTTCAAATATCCTCAATGAACACTAAATACTTTAATACATTAATGTCAGTATCAAAATTGCAAAAATGAAATCTCTGGCAATTATAAAATGACAAGACATTATACAAGTTAATCTTAATGTAAACTTGAGTCATTCACATTTTTTTTTAAAGAAAGGGCCCCATACTGTATGTAGCCTGTATTAGTCTCAAACTTGTGGTGATCCTCCTGCCTCAACTTCCCCAGTGCCTGAATCCAGGTATGCACCACCACGCTCAGCATAACGCTTTAACTTTAGTTAATAAGTTATCATTGTACCAATGGTTGAAAACATAATTATACATTAAAAGACAGAAGTATTTTTATCATTTATCATAAAGGTCTTTTGTAGTTTTCCAGGGTCATGTAAAGGTAAGGTAGAGCCATGGCAGTTGTTTCCTACCCTTTATCTTTAGCGTGCACATCAGCTCCATGCTGCAGCAGGTACTCCACCACAGACACTCTGTTGTATCCAGCTGCAAAATGGAGTGGCGTTGACTGACGACCTTCTATGTCTCTACAGTTGACACTCTGAACAGTACACAGTTTCTGTAGGATTGAACACAGCACACACACAATGCTACATAGTCTCATGTTGTTTTAACACAATGAATAGGAATTTCAAATGTTGCTGGCGGTGGTGGCACACGCCTTTAATCCTAGCACCTGGGAGGCAGAGCCAGGTGGATCTCTGTGAGTTGGAGGCCAACCTGGGCTACAGAGTGAATTCCAGGAAAGGCGCGAAGCTACACAGAGAAACCGGGGTGGGGGTGGGGGTGGGGGTGGGGGTAGGGTGGGGGGTGGGTGGGTCAAATGTCTGTCTCATTTTCTTATTTCATTAAATAAGTTATTTCAGAAACTATTCTTATTTCAGCTTGCCATTTACTGAGAATTCTTCTGGTCCTCTCATATATACTTTTATGTTCTACTTTTTTGAAAGGTAGTAAAACTTACTATTTATATATTGATAATGTAACATCAAAGTGATAATGTAATGTCAAAGAATATCACTGTAACTTCCATTTGGTGGTACACACATGTAATAGCACACTAGATCACAGCAGCACTGAGGAAAAATTCAGAGTCCCAAATCCATATCTACACAGTCAGAATCTGCATTTTAAGCCAGGCAAGGTAATATATGCCTGTAATCCCAGCATTGGAAGGTGAAGGCAGGAGGATTATGAGTTCCAAACCAGTATGGACTGCATGGTAAGACTTTCCACCAAACAACAAATAAAAACCCCACAGCAAATTTACATTTTAGTAAGACCTCTACTATAAGTATATTAAAGTCTGAGAAGTGATGCTGTAGACCAGTGGTTTACAATTTTGACACACACTGGTCTTACCTCAAAATTTTGTAAGTCAGTGTCTGGGGTTGTAAATTTGCATTCCTACCAAGTTTTTAGGTGATCTAGCAGCCAAGGAACCACACTTAAGATAATGACTCATTCTGCAGTATGTATAAATAAATAAAATGAACTAACAAAATGTTCTTGGCTATATACCATCCTTGGAGAACTAAGAAAATTAATTGCTAAAATTATTTTCTTGTGTTCTTTGGTTCAGATGAGTAAGTCTAGCTCAATCAAAAGTAATACCCCAAATATTCTTGAGTCCTATGCAGAAAATTTAGGGGAATAAAACAGACAACTGCTGTGGGATGTTCTGTATGTTCTGTGGGAGTCCGTTCTTGGGTTTCTCATGCCTTAATCCAGCAGGTCCACATAGAGGATGATTAGGACCACAAGTCTTGAGTGCAGGTGTCTGAGATGGTCTGCACTTGGCTGTGCTGTGGGATGGTCTGTATGTCAAATTGCTCTGATTGGTCAATAAATAAAACACTGATTGGCCCATGGCTAGGCAGGAAGTATAGGTGGGACTAACAGAGAGGAGAAATAAAAGAACAGGAAGGCAGAAAGAGACACTGCCAGCCACCCGCCAGGACAAGCAGCCATGTGGAAAATGCCGGTAAGCCACGAACCACGTGGCAAGGTATAGATTTATGGAAATGGATTAATTTAAGCTATAAGAACAGTTAGCAAGAAGCCTGCCACAGTCATACAGTTTGTAAGCAAAATAAGTCTCTGTGTTTACTTGGTTGGGTCTGAGCGGCTGTGGGACTGGCGGGTGACAAAGATTTGTCCTGACTGTGTGCAAGGCAGGAAAACTCTAGCTACAGACAACAGACAATGCTTAGAGAGTCAAAAGAGTATCAGCATTAGTAAGGAATCATTTTACTAAGTCTACCTTAAGAACAAGGATAAGTTCAGTAAGGCGCCATCAGCGGTTTTATCCCAAAGAGAGCCACAAACTGGCAAAGCTTTTCTGAGCTTACAAAATACACTAGATTCCATGAGTGAGGTTGCAGTACCAAAGCAGTGTTTCAGTGGGTCTGAAACATGATCTAGCAATGAGTGTTTCCACTGTGAACCAGCTGTTGCCACAAGTGGTAGTTACTGCACATCATTTTAATACCTTTTCAATTTAATACTGCCCACTCTGTTACTGGGGACTGTTACAGCTAATACCGTCAGGCTGGATGACTTAGAATAGCTTAGGAGACGAGCCTCCCCTCAGCATGCCTGCCAGGAACCATCTATTAATTAAGAAGAACCACTGTAACTGTGGATGACACCATTTCATGGCCTGGTGTCCTGGTCGGAATAAAAAGGAGAAAATGAGCTCAAAATCTGTGTTCATTGATCTCTGCTTCCTGATTGCAGATGCAATGTGACCAGCTACCCCAAGCTCCTGCTGCCATGCTGGACCGTACTTTGTACTGTAAGCCCAAATAAACCCTTCCTTTCTTAGGTTGTTTTTGTGAGGTATTATGGGTGTCCAGAAAATGATGTAACCTGGTAGATCAATAGTAAACAAATCTAAGTAAAAATGGAAATATTCACTGGGTAGTTTGGAGAATGTTCCTATCCTAGTAATTCATACAGTCACATGCCCTAAGATAGAAAAGAAACAGAAAAGCTGATGGAGATACATTTCCAAGTGATTTCAGAGTCAGAGGGCAATGAAGCTAGCCTAATGCTTATCACAGAGAGAAATAGGTGTCTTCCTTAATTCAATGGCATTACTTTATTTTCTAAGTCCAATTTGTATTTTAAATTCATGTCTTTTCCTTCTAGGCTCCTTCTATTCAGATGAAAACAGAGTTTATACTTTCTAAAAAAACAAAAAACAAACAAAAAAACCTAAACTAAAATCAAAACCACTGCCAACAACAACAAAAAAGAATTAGCCCAAGCTGGTCTCAAACTGTGACCTCCTACCTCAGCCTCTCAAGTGCTGGGATCAAAAGAGTATGGCCACCACTTCTGGTAATGTTAAATCTTATGCTTATTAAATACTTTCATGGTCTATAAGTAAATTAACATTTAAAATTCATCAGGCTCCTCATTTACTTACACATACAGATAAAATTATCTAGTTTAACTTGAATAAATATCTTGAATTCAATAAAACACAATCACTTGACTCATGAAAATCCAATCAGAAAGCCTGGTTGCACGTGCTCTCTCTATTCACACTGGCACAGCAGTGAGTGGATCATGTGCACTCTCATTCAGGGCCGGCAAGACTGGCCCGCTGGTATGGGTGCTGTGCAGGTCTGCAGACCTGAGTGTGACCACTGGGACCTCCATAAAGGGGAAGGAGAGAACACACCCTGCCCCCAAACACCTAGCCCACTTAAAAGATCAGGGAAGAAACTCTCAGAGCTCTGGAAAGAGACCAATATTTGTAAGTCTTTTTTGTTGTTGCTGAGACAGGGTCTCACTGTGTAACCCTAACAAGTCTTTTGACCTTAAATTCAAAGAGATTCACCTCCCTCTGCCTCCCTAGTATTGGGATTAAAGGCAAGTGCTAACGTGTCTGGCTTGTGTATTTTAAAAAAACAAAAACCAACAACTATATAAATCTATAGAAAATCAACTGTGTAGAAATTCAACAAAATTATTTCAAACAGCTGCTTCTGCCACAAATTAGGTAATACAAAAACCTGTTTTTTTTTTTTTTTTTTTTTTTTTTTTGACACAGGGTTTCTCTGTGTAGCCCTGGCTGTCCTAGAACCCAGAGGTCAGCCCTCCTTGAGTGCTGGGATTAAAGGTGTACACCACCACCATCTAGCTCTATAAAATTTCTTATTGTACACGAGTGCTCCCTCAACTTGGAGCAGCCTAGTTTTGAAAAGTCTTTAAGGAGAGAAATAAAACAATGAAAAAATAAGGCGGCTTTTCTCCTGGTTAGTTTTGAAAACTGAAACAGTATTACTGCACTATTGAAGAATTATTTACTTCATGAAATAGATGAGTCAAATTCTGATTTGTATTACTTGAATTGTGAGCCTTGCTCTTTTAGAACATCAGGCTTTTGGGTTATTTACCCAGACATACATTTCTGTACGTAACGGACACACAACATGGACAGCAGGACAGCCACGTGTGTATGGCACAAGTCCAAACAGAGTCTGAGGGAAGGGACTCTGGGGACTGCTGCCAGGATGGTACAGATGAGCAGTCTGGCGCTCTGTAGGAGAAAAGAAATGCAGTCCTCCAGCTGACAAAGAGACTGAACAGCTCTGAGCAGTGCTAACACTATGCTCACACAGTCAGGAGGAGTCTGTATAGACACCTGCACCTAGTTCCTGTTGTTCTATGTGTCGTATATAAACAGTAATGGACAGCAACATGAAACTTTCTTCTTTTTCTTTTTTACATTGGGAAACGTTTATTAACTTATATTGGCAATCTTAATTTTGCCCAGCAAGTTCTTAATAAATGTCTTAGATCTCAACCTGCAGGTGTTTTTACCACCACAGAATCATGAAGACTTGCAGTTATCATTGTCCTGTAATGATGAAAATGATGTTCAAATAATTAACATGTTACTTCTCTGAAAGACTTAGAAGATATTCTGAGGAGTGCTTGAAAGTTCTGTGTATAAATAATGATTGATACATTTAAGATACAGTTAGGATCTATTTGATGCTGTCAATAAATATTTCTTACACAAAACAATGTTTTAACATGCCACTGTTCTAATGAGGCAGTTCTTAGATATATTTTCATACTAAAGAATAAAGCTTTATCTTTGTAGTTATTTTATTTATAGGACTCTTAGCAAAGAAGAACTTTGTATCCAACAGAAAAGAGGTGTACTCCAAGTGACATTCTGGTGATGTATGCCTGTGACCCCAGCACACCGGAAGCTGCAGCAGGAGGTTAAAGACTTCCAGACTACTCTAAACTCAGTGAGGCCCTGTCTTAAAAAAAAAAAAAAAGAAAGAAAGAAAGAAGAAAAAGGAAAGAAAGAAAGAAAGAAAGAAAGAAAGAAAGAAAGAAAGAAAGAAAGAAAGAAAGAAAAGAAAGAAAGAAAGAGAAAGAGAAAAGCTCTTCTTTTTCTTAGTATTGCTTTTAGACAGTCTTCGTAAGTAGCTCGAGCTGCCTTATAACCCTTAATCCTCCTGTCTGAGCCTCCCTAGTATTTGGATTGTGCACTATCATGCCTGGTCCATACTTACTTATCCTTAAGATAATTTTTTATTAAAAAGATGATTTTATGTGTATGAATGTTTTGCCTGCATGTTTGTCTGTGCCCCACATGTGTGCCTGGTGCACACGGAGGTCAGAAGAGGGTGTTACATCCCTGGACCCAGGTATCCACGATTGTAAGCCACCATCTGGGTGCTGGGAACTGAATGCAGGGCCACTGCAAGAGCTGCAAGTGCTTCTAATTTCTGAACTGTTTCTCCAGCCCCTTATTCTCCTTTTACAGGGACAGGTGAGGCCTTTAAGACAACTGCATTTTATGCTACAAGAAGAGTACTAAAATTTGTGAGTGTGATATTTTCTAAAATACATGTGAAATACCCCCATTTCTCAGTGATCTTACTGCAAAGGAATTGGGTGCTTTTTTTGTCTTTTTAATAAAGCTGTTTGATGTAACAGTACAGATTTATTAAACAATGCCAAAATAAAAACCAAAGATTAACAACAATTTCAGACGGTTTCTCACCTTTACAGTTTCTACATCACCAGCCTTTGCAGCTTCAAGCAACTGCCTGTCTGCCTCTGAGTGACCTGGTGAGATGCCCTCTAGAAGCGGGGAGAAGAGAGGTTAGTTTTCATGTAGAAAATCAGACCAAGCTTGGAGGGAGTCAGTCCTACTTACAAAGGAGGTTTTGGTTTGCTAGTATCACCACAGGGGAAAACACTCAGGCTATTAGAACTTCTGAAAATATACACTGAACAAAATGTGTAAGCATGCTAGCCATATGCTATTTAGGTGGTGGGAAGGAACATAACCAAAATGAAAGCTTGCCTGCATTATAAACAAGCCACGTGTGAGCACTGGTAAAGAGCAACCAGCAGAAATCTAAACACGGTTCTGATAGTAACTAGTTATCTACTAGTTATCTGAACCTGGACAAATCACTTTAATTTCCAGAGCCTCAAGCTTTTTTTCAATTTTAAGGAGTATAGTTGGATTAGAAAGTAGCTAAACATTTCAAGTTTAAAATTGTGTCTTGAGCCAGCAGTGGTGGCTCGCACCTTTAATCCCAGCACTCAGGAGGCAGAGGCAGGCAGAACTCTGTGAGTTCAAGGCCAACCTGGTCTACAGAGTGAGTTCCAGGGCAGTCAAAACTGTTACACAGAGAAACCCTGCCTCAAAAAAAACAAAAACAAAACAAAACAAAAACAATGAAAACTGTGACTCAAAACTCAAAATTTCTGAAAAGAATACATACAACAAAAGAAGTTCCAGGTAAAGGTTTAAATTTAAAAATTAAACCTTAAAAGAACTAAAAGAAAACAGAGATAAATGTTTATGTCTTAGGATAAACATCTAGAACAGTGTATCAAAGAGCCAAATAAAAAATGAATGTGGGAAGGTGCCAGGGTAAATCTCCCATAAACAAAATAATAAAGCCAGGAACAAGATGAAAAGAATCATATTGTAACATGCATTATTAGAAGACACATACATGCCTTACATACTCAAGATCTAAAAAAAGAAGAAAGCAGTCCCAGTGCTTATGGAAAAGGAGGGGAATGGAGTGCAGGAGAGGGAAGAAATGAGAGAAAAAAAAAAAAAAAAAGACAGGGTCTATGCAACCTTGTCTGTCCTGGAACTCAAGAGATGTGCCTACCTCTGCATCCTGAATACTGGAATTAAAGGTGTGTACCACCATGCCTGGTAAATCAGCTTTATTTAGAGAAACCAGGCGGACTATGCTACTGAACAAAAGTCATAATTACAATTTAATGACATTTAAGTATCAAATATAACGAGTTAAGAATTTTAAGTTAAGAAGGCCAACATTTCTCAAAATTTTTCTGTTTATTATCAACTCCTACACCTAACACCTGATATGTGAAAAACCTTAAAGGTTAATCTTTAAAACAGAATGTCAGAGAAGCACCCAATACCTTGAAGCAGCTGCTGTACATTTTCATTTCCCATCTGCAAGGCGGTGAAACCCTGAAGGGATATGATGTTTGGATCACACCCATAGCTCAGGAGCAGGCGGCAGGTCTGCAGATGACCACAGTGTGCAGCTCTGTGCAATGATGTCTGTCCAAGACTGTCCAAAGCATTAACCTTCAAAATGCAGAAAACACTGAAATTAGCATTATGGTGCACCATCTAAAATCATCCATTAGCACTTAATACTTACTATTAAAAGTTTCTAGCTTTTTTAAAAGAAACCAACTGTCCAGTGCCAAAGGAGGCATTTTCCCCATCCAATACTAGAGTACAAATTCACCAATCCATGAAAACTGGTATCAGGAATATAGATCCAACTTTGGGTTAAACATGTGGGTTGTCAAGTACAATAAGTTCAACATTTAAGTTATGTTTAGCCTTAAAGCATTTATAAACTCACCCTATTCAGAACTAGACAGTGACTGAAAAGGCTGCACCCACTGAAATTTTATGGGTCTTTGAGATATGTAATTTTTATGACTGGCTCCAAGACATACAACAGCAAGGAGAACTCCAGAGGTGAGTTAGTATTCAAAGACTCATTCCTATTTAATTCCTTCTACACCATGTATCATGTAGAATATTATGTGAATAAACATACTGCATATCCACAATGAAACATTCACCAGCAATACAACGGCACTGTGGACATGCTGATCAATCTCTAAAACATTATACTAATCTTTAAAGCCTTACACTAAAGAGTACACATTTGTGATAGATAAATCTCAAAATGGCTGTTATTGTTTGGGGTAGAGACTGCCTGAGATGAAGCACTGTTATAGATTGAATTCAGGGCCTTACGCATTGAGACACTCTACCACTGAACTATCCATCACCCACTTCTGCCTCAGCCCGTGTTCTTTAATAAATTTTGGTTACACAGATATACTGTATATGCATGTGTGTATATATATACATACATACACACATACACACACATACATATATGTAGAGATTTGTTAAAATTCAGCACATATATACTGAGGGTTTGCACATTTCACCCCATAACTTTTGTACCTACAGAAAAACTATATATAAATATTCAACTCTAGTTGCTTGTATACACGGAGTATTTAGTATGTGCACAGTAATCTGTAAACCTGTCAAAAAATACATGTTGACGGATATGTAACATAATATGGCTGGTGATAGTATCCAGGTAGTGGGTACAGAATTATTTTTTGTAAAGTTCTTTCACAAGAAAATAAGATGACCTCTAAGAGCACCTCACTTCCACTCTCCCTCCTTACCATTAGAATAATTCAATATATAACTAACCAATCCTATGTCCATCAGTGTCTTTTGAGGCACTGGCTAATAAATAATTCACGTCATTAGAGACTATTTGAAGATGGACATAGCAAGATCTCAATGAGCATAAAACTAGACTGTGAGTGTCCATGATTACAGAACTGAAACCCTATTTGAAATGCTCAGGGCAATGTTTACTCACACACTAAATCATATTTTTGGAAAAACAAACCCTGAAAGCTTTGAGTAATATATATCAGGATGACCAACTTTTGCTGGTTTGCCTGGGACTTCTTCAGTCTTCGCACTATGACACAGGTTTTTAGAAACTACCAAGTCCTGGACAAAAGCAAGTAAGTGGTCTCTAGTCACAACTGTTTCACAACTGAGATTCAGTGTTCGCCTGGATACTCTTCAAGTAGTGTGCCGTATGTAAGGAAAGAGCAATCCACAAGAAGGCACAGAGCAGAGACAAATGAGGATGCCAAGCAGTCAAGCAGAAACCAACTTTATTTTATTCAGTAATTTACAATAGGAAAAATCACGTTTATACATTATCAGGATCTTCCCGAAATCAGAGATTAGGACATTAAAGGTAACAGAAAAAGAAACTGAAAATTTTAAGTAATTCCTTGAGAGGGGAGAAATCCAAGGAAGGAAAAGTAAGAAAACTGACCTGCAAACCTGTGAGGATAAGGCCTCAGGGCCACTCAGGGCCTGTTTTTTTCCCCTTCACTCATAGCAGCTCCATTTCTGTACCACATACTAGATTTTCACTAAAAAATTTCTTTGAAGAAGGTGAAAGTCTTTGGATTAAAAACTGTAAACTATCAGCTGTCATTTCTGCTGTGTACACCTTTTACCAAGCATTCTTTACATTAAAATTTTGAAATTGTGTGTGTGTGTGTAAAAAAATGTGGAAGTCAGAAGACATCTTCTGGGACTCAGGTCTCACCTCCCACCATGCTGAGGCAGGGTCTTCTTATTGTTTCTGTCACTCTGCTAGCTGGCTGGTGAACTGGCCAACTTCCCTGTCTCTCCCATCTATCAGATCACTGAGATTACAGATGTGTGCCATCACACCTGGCTTTTCACATAGATTCCAGGAGATCCAATTCAGGTAGTTAGGCTTGAATGGCAAGCACTTTATACACTAAGCCATTTCTCTGGACTCATTATTAATTATATTTTAAAGTTATTGAGCAAGAAAATTATTTACAGTTTTGATGGAAGTAGTTATTCGAGGGGTAAAATGCTTTGCGTATAAATGCCAACTAAAGAATGTTAATTCATCAAAATGGTTACGTATGTTGTTTTAACTCAAATTATTTCTTTACTTCTTCTATTCAAGTTCTTTGTCTTTTTACAGAAATCGTGGAAAGTACAAAGTCTGCACTGGTAAATAAGGAGGAGTTATTATATTAATAAAGGAATTTCAGATGCGGGCCAGAAAAGAAAACCAGAGTAGAACTGGTCTCCTGCTAAGACAAGAGGTGTTCTGTGTACTGTTAAGAAAAAGTCAAGTATAATGTTGATCAGTGAATTAAAAGGAATGGAGAAAAAAGGACATACAGGAATAACGTACATATGAATAGATACATAAATTTCCTAACAATAACAAAAAATAGATTTGGGAAGTTCTGCATATTGAGGTTGTGGTGTGTGCATGTGCACACATGTGTATGTGTGCATGATGGTCAAGAGCACAGCCTTGGGTGTGGTTCCTCACCCTCTATCTTGTTTGAGACAGACTGGGTACTGTACATGCCAGGCTAGCTGGCCTACAGGCATTTAGACACTCTTCCATCTCTGCCTCCCATTTAGCCACAGGAGCACTATCTCCTGCTCCATGGATTCTGGGAATCTGAACTCAGGTCCTCACCATTTTGTGGCAAGTACCTTTTTTTTTTTTAAATTTAGCAAAGCCAAGAATGTACTAGAAACCACTTGTTAACAGCTGACATGCACTCGCAAGCTCTGTTTCTACTGTAAGGAGGACAGTGCCAGGCAGGAATGGGGCCTGCAGGGCAACCGGCCGCCACCAGGCTGGGCTGTGGTGGTCTTGCTCCAGCTCCTCAATGAACCCATTCCCTCCCAACCTAAGCTCATTCTTGCTCCTTCTGAACCACTTCCTCTCTGGGCCTGGCTCCCCTGAAGATGGCTGAGTTGGGGTTGGCTACTTGGTTGAGGGGTGTTGCATGGCAAGTACTTTTACTCCCCACCCTAGGGCTGTTTTGAACTATAAACTAAGAAAAAACCCTTTATGACAGCATGACTAGTTTAAGGAGCTAGATATCCACTTATCAGAGAGTGACTGACTGGATTACCAACGGTTACCAACGGTTACCAGAAAGGATGTACCTTTGCTTCATGCTTCACCACTACTTCCACAACGTCATTGTGAGCTTTTTCAGAAGCCACGTGCAGAGGAGTCAAGAATCTTAAAGAGAAAAGGCCAGCCACAATAAGTATATTTTCCATACAAAAAGATATTAATAACATCTACTGGTCAAAGGTACACTTACTCTTTAGTCTTTTCGTTGGTGTTTGCTCCTTTTCTTAGCAGCAGTTCACATATTTGCTTTCTTTTGGGATATGGAGATGCAGCAGCACAATGCTAAATAATTCAAATTGCAGCATTAATCAAGGACCATACAGAACCATTTTCACTTAAGAACACTTGTGTTTCCAATCATGGATAATAAATGAAATGTAACTTCTTTGTTTTCTTTTTACCCAACTTTGCTCTTGAAAAACTTTCTATTGGAGAGAACGTGTAGTAATTACAGATTCTGACACAGCTGGAAAATCCCACAGGATCAAATACTTTGTGTTATTAAATATTCTGGTTAAACTTTGTTCTCAATTTTGAAAATGCCACTACTGATAGGATGAATGTTATATTTAAAAGGTTAGGACAGACTCAAAGGTTAGCATTTCTTCTTGCAATGCTAACAACTGATCCACAGCTTCAGAGATGGTACCCCAGCTCTCCCACTGGGCTGTGTATGTCCTCAGCCCAGAGTTTGGGCTGTTACACGAACAAGCATACCCATCTGCTCTGTTCTCAATTCTGCTGGTTTAACAGCACTGCTGGGCTAGCTGCTAAGTTGTGTATCTTCCTTAACTGGTCCAAAGCAGAGTAAGGACGTGAACTACCTGTTCGGCACAACCTGTACTGCTGTGGCTGCAGCATTTCTGAGTATCAAGAAGAGAAAGAGAAAGGAAGTAGGGATTTGCCTTTTATAAACTTATTACCTATGGTTACGGCATAATCTTTACATTGTCAACATCTGGATAATGCTGTCTAACAGATACTCAGTATCTGACAGAGAATTGACCAAATCAATGTGATTATTTGTCAAAACCCAAATCTGAAAGTTGTGAGCTAAAAATTTTGGTTAAAATTTTAAAGCAAAGTTGCTCTCTATACTTCTAAACATACAGCAATAATGAAATTTGTTATTTTTTTAAAAAAGATTTATTTATTTATTTCATGTATATGAATATTCTATCTGCATGTATGCCTTTAAGCCAAAAGAGGGCATCAGATCCCATTAGAGATAGTTGTGAGCCACAACGTGGTTGCTGAGAATTGAACTCACGACCTCTGGAAGAGCAGCCAGTGCTCTTAACTGCTGAGCCATCTCCCCAGCCCCTGTTCTCCTGTTATTAATCACACATTGTCAGTTCCTAACAACTATGTTCCTGATTCATTTTTTTGATATTGCTGCAGTCACCAAAATAATTCCTTCACCCTCAATAAAGTCAAATCTAACTGGTACACAGTTCCTTTGACACACTAAGAGTAATACCCTAGAACATTTATTCTGAATACAAAAAAAAAAGAGAGATAGTTTATTTCCAGGAAGTTTTTATTACACCCACCACAAATCAGAGTCCTACTCTTCTGACCATCCTAGGGAAAGGCCTGCAATCTCTAGAAACAGTAAGAAACTGCCCCTGCACAACTACCCATGAACACTTAAGTCCTAGCATGTTTTAAAGTTAAAGACATTACAGCAGGATACTTAGAGGAAAACACACATAGTAAAACATTCTTTCAACTATGCTGTTTTGCTTTTATTACCTGAGATCACTATGATCTGCTACTACACAGAAAAGCTCCAGAAATAAACATGCTTCTGCGAAGTGTGATGAAATCCTGTCCTTTGCTCTTTGTGCAGAGTATACAGGCTGCATATGCTGCCTACTCGTTAATAACTTTGCAGCTGTCTGTTATCTTTGAATCAACTGAAATGTAACAGTGTTTGTGTTCAGGAAATGCTTATTTTACTTAATGGCTCTAAAGTGCAGGGGCAGTTTTGCTGGCAACTATGATATACCAGAGAGAAGCTGTAAAGTGCTTTTTTTTTTTTTTTAACTGAAAAGCTTCAACTGATGAAGGACAGAAAAGATACTGTATACTGAAGTTTTACTAAGAGCTACTGGTATGGTCGTTAATTTTACTGTGTGTCAAGAATAAATTGAACTATCTCAGGTGTGGTTATGTAAGAAAAAATGACATATGTAGGGTTCATCATTATCTGTGATTTTAGGCAGTGACTGGGGAGTTGAAAGATATCCTCCTTAGATAATGAGATTTTTCAAACTAGAAAATTTTCCATGACTGTTAGTCTTTCTAAGCTTCTCCATACTAGTTTAATGCTGCTATCGTTTTAATTTTCTGCTTAGCATTTTTTAATAGTCTAGAGCTTTAGTTTCTTTTTAACTTGGATTTTAAAAAGTTAAATGTTGGGGGCTGGAGAGATGGCTCAGCAGTTAAGAGCACTGGCTGCCCATCCAGAGGAGCCGGGTTCAGTTCCCAGCAGCCACATGGCAACTCAACTGTCTGTAACGCCAAGATCTGACATCCTCACACATACATGCAGGCAAAAACACCAATGCAAATAAAATAAATAAATTAAAAAAAAAAAAGCTAAGCTGCAAGTTTCGCAGTTTATATTAAGGCATAAGGAAGAAAACACATTACCTACCAGACAGTCTACTTGACTCATTTCCTTCTACCTAAAGAACACTCTGAAGCTTATAACAGAGCTTCCTGTTTTCTTCTGGAATTTCTACTTTTTAAGGTAGTCACCTCTCTCACTCCATGCCCTGCCTCCACTTGCTTTTTAAGATGGAGTCTTGCTAGTGTGGCTCGGGCTAGCCTTAAACTTGTGTTCCCCTACCTTAGCCTTCTGGATTCTGGGATTCCAGGAACACAGTATCATGCCCAGTTTGTAAATGGAAGTAACTCTAAGTAAGATACTAAACTCAAACTTGTGAAAACCGCAAATGACCACTTGTTTTGTGAGTTGTCTATTTGTCTACACTATTTAGATCTCTTTTTCCTTTATATATAGATGGATAACTGGTAGCAAATGCTCAGTTCAACACTTGAGAGGCTGAGGTAGGACTACCACGAGCACAAGGCCAATCTGGGCTATGCAACAAGACACTAGACTCACAAAACCAAAACAACAAAAACATAAGCCAGCCACCAACCAACAGATGAGTATTTTAAAAACAATGCTATCACTAAAATCAGACATTATGATTAGTTTTGGGTTATTTTATTTGAAAAGCTTAAGTCTGAAACATTACCAATGCTGTTTCGTGTGTTTGAGGATGTTTGAAATTCACCATTTCCAGGGAAAGATGTTTTTTGATTCTTGTAACATCAGCTTCCCGAGCAGCCTGTAGCAATGAGTGGCCTTTGAATTCATCTAAACAAAGAAGCATTTGCATTCACATGAAAATTATCATAGTAATGAGGTTGCCTCGCACAATACTAGTATTTTCAAAGTAATCTCCAAAATAACCAGATTAAGGCTCTATAGGTAAGACTAATAAGCAACAATTAACAGACACAATGGCATTCTAGTTCCCGTTAGTCATGGCACAATGTATTCATTCCCAAGTATATACATAAATTTGGGCCAAGGCAAATCCATGGTCTGTTGACAGTCTCTAACTGGATTAGAGATAGCTACACTATTACAATATATTCCCACTGCAACGTGTTCTGCGAACTTAAAAAGGGGTGACCATCCCCCCTCCGCTAGTATTACAGTATAAGATAGTCTTGCTTAGGCACTAGTTCATCAATAACTCCTCAATTTGAACAAAATTAAAGCATTTCTTCAAAGCTTCTCTTTTACTTATTAGATTTGTGAAACCACTCATTATCATTTTACTGTTCTGGAATAATTCAAGTTTAGTTCACACTGTTCATTTATATGTAGGAATACTGTATCTGAATCAAGTGCTTATTTCTTACAGTATTTTCTTTAGCTACACAGAAAACCATAGAATTTGGTCCAGTAGTAAAGAATATTATATGTCACAATTCAGGGATTATATTTACAAGACAATAACAACTTTTTGTAAAATTAACTAGCAACTCCCAAAGATATGAGTAAAATTCAAAGGCTATAATTTTTTTTTTTTGAGACAGGATTTCTCTGTGTAGTTTTGGTGCCTGTCCTGGATCTTTATAGACCAGGCTGGCCTCGAACTCACAGAGATCCACCTGGCTCTGCCTCCCAAGTGCTGGGATTAAAGGCATGCACCGCTACCCGGCTCAAAGGCTATAATTTACAGTTCTTAAATTTAAAAACTAATTCAAATATACTTCTACCCAGTATTTAAATTATTAACTGTGCAAACAGAAACAGACACCCATCCTTAAAGAAAATATTTTACTATTTAAACATTCCCAAAAGAAAAAAAAAAGCAAAGCTCGCTCATTGAGGTCATATATCTTAGCTAAGTATCACATGGTTTTGTTTTGTTGATTTTTCCTTCAAGACAGGGTCTCACTATGTAGCCCTGGGTGGCTTGGACCTCACTACATGCACACCAGGCTAAAGAACTAAAAAGATCCACCTACATCTGCTTCTTAAGTGCTGGAATTAAAGGTATGTGTCACCACATCCATCTTGAACATCATTTTTATACTCACATGACAATCTTTCCTTCAACTGTGGTGTGGGAGCCAAGTCTATAGCACTTTTATTATGACAGTTCAGCAAGGTTGGATCTGCCCCATAACTCAAGAGGAGAGAGCACACTTCAACCCTGTTCTTAGAAGCTGCCTCGTGAAGAGGAGTAAATTGCCACAAGTCCATTGCATTTACACAGGCACCATGCTGGGGAAGAAAAGGTATATAGTTAATGTGCAATTCTTAAGAGAATTTAGATTAACCCTGTGTAGTTTAACAACATGAAAGTTGGAAAAAAGTCTTCTGCAAGAATCTCCCTTTCCTTTTGCAGGTATAATTAACATACAGGAAAATGGAACTCTTAATAATGAGTGTAGCTTAGTGAATTTTGACATCTATTCCACCACACAAGAAACAAGATTCATACCTTTTTTTTTTTTTTT